GTAACTCACTTTTTAAAAGTTAAAATATTGCTATTTTAGATGGGATATGATATATCTGGGTTGTCTAAATGTAAAAAAGTGAAGTTTTAGTGTTAGATATGTAAATGCATAAGAATGGATGGTATGCATGTAAATGCTCGTATGGCATCAACCTCTAACTTAGATTTTTTGACATCTAGATGTCAGAAAATAAAATAAGTAAAAAAATAATAATTATCATTGATCTTCCTAGATAACATTATGTTGTTGAAGTAAGATGACATTGAGTTAAATAAATTATAATTTGATAAATTTCTCTATGATTGTTTTAGGTGATTAGATTATCTCCTACAAAAAATAAACTCTGTATAGTTTATTTTTTATCAACAATATGCTCGGTATAGAAGACCATCAGAGGATTTGAATAGTGAAGGGGTTAACATCTCTTGCAATAGCCTTCATGCTGTATTTGAGAATGTGAAGCATGGCAATTGGCATCTCAAGGCATTCGTTTTGGGCATTGCATGTATCGACTCATATCCCCAACTAAAAAAGAGATATATGATTGTATAGTTGTCACATAATTTCTTTTTTTTTTACAGCTAAACTTTGATTTTTTGGTGTGTCAATTCGTTGGCACTTTAAATCCTATCTATTTATAATCTCGTCACACTTTTAGAATTTAGAATTATTGAATTTGAAATTCATAGTTTGAATTGGCTTTTGTAAGCTATTTAAAATGTCTTTTGCATTTGGTCAGCCGCTCGTCGGCAAATGGTGAGTTGACATCACATTCGCTCAATAAAATCAATACTAAATAAAAAAAAGTGATGTTTTCTCACCATCTCCCTCCATATCTCACTTGAATTTATATGCAAACTCACATAAAATATGTGCTGAAAACAAGTTACGATAATTCAAATCATGATCTCAAGATGCAAATATTAAAAAACAGCAACAACAAATGATCACATAGATCTACAAAGCTGAAAATAACCAAATTATTCATCAAAATCATGATGATGACAACATCATTAAATACATTAATTACACAAATAACAACCCCCCTCCACCTCCTAATAAAACAGGGAGGAACAACAAAACATTCAAATCCATATTGCTTGTACAAAACCAGAAAACATCTATGTCAAGAAACTATATGTAAAGGACATAAAATATTAAGTCAAACGAAAGGAATCTCCAATTCAAGAGCACTCAAGCTCCCCGATGTACGAAAGAAATCACGAAGAAGAAAGTAGATGATGATCAAACATGCAACTCCAATCATGCAAGCGCACAAAAGACTGTAGTCCATGCCGGCTTTGATTCTCACACATTTCTGTTTTGATTCTTTGACTAATATCTGGTCGCTGAGTTCCAACATTGTTGGAAGCTTAAGAATGCTATTTGACCTTATGCAGCGGTCAGCCTGTGCGCATTCGATGGTCTCTTTAAGAGATGAGATATTCCTTGATTCCATCTTGCTGGTATGAGCAAGCATGATGCGGTAGGGGAAATTTACGGCTGGCGGTTCTTCGCGGCGCTCTCTTATTTGTATGAAGTTTGAGTTTTGTGAAAGATCTGGCGTCTCGTTTCTGAAATCTTCAATGGCAGAGTTGGTTTCCTGGTTGACGGGATGGGCTGCAAGCGATTGTGTGATCTCGGGTATAGCGTTGAAGTCATCGCCTAGGATGCCCAAAATTTCTTCTGAGAGGATACCATACTCCAATGGCTCATTCGTTGGAGTCGGAGTAGTGCAAGCAATGTCGGACATCTGATGACATGAGTTAGGGAAAAGTTAACAGATCCGCGAGTGAAACATGGATGATGAGCTAAAACAGGGAGGGGAACACCTAAACAAACATTGAAACCCCCGACAAACACGATTCAATCTCCAGGAATTAGGCTCTATATCAACCTTTCTTGAAATTCAATTCCAACATACACCACAAATGTACCTCCTACATTAAACATGTTACATCTTGGACACTCCACAAAACATAAATGCAAAAACTGTAAACCAGTCTCCAAGCCAACTCTAAGCAAACACCCTACAGTTCCATTTGGTTAGGCTTATGATTGCCAAATTTATGTATAATAAAGGATTAAATTAGTAAATTTTTGTAGATGTAATTTTGTTATAACATGCATTTTTCTATATACTATCATATGTGTCGCATTATGTCATTGAAGAGTGAAATACACCGGGAAAAAAAGGGGTGAAAGGCACATGTTACAACTGGATTAAGAGTCTAGGCATATCTGTAGTTCTTTCATTGGTTGTATAGAAGAAAGAAGATCAGTAAAGCAGCACAGATCAATGCATTTTTCAATATATTCTCTTAAGCCTCGCATTAGGTCCTTGGAGAGTGAAATACGCCAAAAGAAAAAAAGGGTGAAAGGCACATGCTTTACAACTTTGTTAAGAGTCTGGCCATACCTGTAGTTCTTTCGTTGGTCGCACGGGAGAAGAAAGATCATTAAGGCAGCAGAAGTCAAGGGATCCATCAAAGTTGGGATCTAACAGCTCATTGAGCCATGATTCCAGCGCTTCTGCACTCTCAGGTGAGCTAGACTCATCATGTCTAATTCCCTGGTTCTGCAATGAATCCACGCCTTCTGCAACTTTTAGACCATCAATCTCTTCAGACTGGGCAGAGACTTTCTCTCCTTCAACTTCAAAGCCGTCCCTTTTCGTGACACGGCAGAGGACATAGGAATCCTGCAACAAAATATAGAAGAGTCGATAAAAGAGAGCTCCACAGTTCAAGCAAAGCGATCCAAAATGGCACAAAAAAATGTAGCTTTTATTTAGGTAAATCTTCAACTAATACCAAATAGCCAAAGCTTCCATATATAACAAGACGCAGGCCTATTACTATCAGGAAAAGAATAGAGGTAGATGACCTTGATTCCTGGAGTTCTCTTGCACTCTTTTTCGTCCATGCAGTATTCATGCATGATCCAATCCGTGCGCTTTCCACGGGGCGGCCTTCCTTTATGGAAAACTAACGTCTTCTTGGTTCCTATAACCCGATTCTGGAATCTGATGCTTCGATCCTTACCGGTAGACTTCCAATAGCCTGCTACCGTGGCTCGATTCGAGCGTGTGCCGTTGGGGTACTTCCTATCACGAGAGGTGAAGAAGTGCCACCTGCTGTCTTTGGTGAGGATCTGACAACATGCTGCAGGTAAAATAAAACATATAAGGGATATTTACCTACATAGCGCACAATTTTAATGTATTTTCATGTCTCACACCAAACTTTCATATTTACACACAGCACTTAAATCTTAAATATCACATCAAAATTAGCACTTGTAACATTTCTTAAAACTGAAATACACATTTTTCAGGCACAAGTTTAAAGCATCACAGTGTTATGAAAGTAAATATGAAACATATTAAAAAAATGTCAATTTGAAACTTTAGCTGTGACATATAAATAAAATTATAAAAGACAAGGTTCCATGCAATTACCCAGAGCAAGATCATAACATTAGCAGACTAACTACCTGGTAAATCCCAAGGCTCACACTTGCATATGTCCAACTCTGGTATCACTTCATAGTCAATCTTTTGGCCTGAGTTTTTCATCTTAAGATAGTGTGATATAAGCTCTACATCTGTTGGATGAAAGCCAAACCCAAGTGGTAGAGAAATCGCCTTTAAAACATCCATTTTACCAGAACTCTGCAAATAAATACTTATGAGAAATGCTGCGCACACAGCACAAACCTAACAATCAATCCAAATTGTACGCGTAGACATGGATTTGTTATTTTCTCAAGGTATGAGCTTGAGTTCAACAAAGAAAACTTTGGAAAGAAATAGAAATATCTTCAGCAGATTATATGTGTTCCATATAAAAATGAACTAGCTGAATCAAAAATCGGGGCATTTACATACATAGTATTACATATCTCACATCTAGACTTTCATATTTACACACATATCACTCATATCACTCAAATATTTATTTAATATCACATAAAAAATAGCAGTATGATCACTTTTTTAAAAGTGAAATGCACATTTTCTTGCAGAGGTTTAAAGGACCAAGGTGTTATGTTTGTAAATATGAATGTTTAGGCGCCTGACTTGTATAATGTGTGCTATGCAAAATTACCCTTAAAAATATATGTGATAAAGATAGATCTGATAACATAAGAACTATAACATTGGATCTCAATAAAAGTAAGCTGGAACATGCAGGTTGGGTCAAATATAGCAAATCCAAAAGGCACGTGAGTCTTCAGCAAGACCACCAAGCACTCATCTCTATATTAAAAATAATAATAATAATTGGACCAGCGTCAAATATTTACACTTGTTCTAATGCATTCATCTTCCTTGCTAATTGAAGTCATCGTATTAGATCTCAATAGCTCAACACCATTACAGAATATGAAGTGAGGAATTCAGCTTCGGTAACATAAATTCAGCACAAGCCTAAAAGTTCAACATATCTTTCTTAATGTCGCAAAGAATCGTCCAATGTTTAATGATCCAATAGGATCATAATATTCGTATCACTTCAACCTTATGGGATGAAACTTTCATATCAAAATTCCTACTGAAACACGAGAAATTACCGCCTGGAGAATATCAAGCCTAAAGATATTACTTTGTTAGGGTTTAAGAAGCCAGCCCTAAAAATTTCACAAACAACAGAGCCTCGGACATAACTTCTGCTGCTGCAAACAAACAAAAAAAAAAAAAATCACCAATCAATTCTTCAAACAAGTTCCAGAACCTCTGAAGGCTGGATTTGGAAGCTGAGCAAATTTTGAAAACCAATCAAAACAAAATAAATGAGGAAAACTGTGTCGATAGCAATCCGACGAACGGTACGAACTCCGATTGCACGCAGAAAACGAAAAAGAAGTGCTCGATTCAAGGAAAACGAAGATGAAATCCACCTGAAGAGAAGAAGCCGCAGCAGCGACTGTGAAATTCTGATCGGGAGAAGAAGAAGAGTTCGAAGACTATGATTCCAACGAAGCGTGGTTCTAAACTCCAATTGGTGGCTGCTCCATAAGTGCGTGAGGTTAAGAATTTAGCTTCGCCGCTACGCCACCCCACTTGGGAAAAAATTCGCGTATATAAGAGCTTAGACAATCTGCTGATCGCCGGCTAAATCGGATAGATTTGTGTGTTTTGATAACAGTTAATTTTGAATAAATAATCAATATATGTGTGTTCCATTTTAATTTTGTAGAGTCATTCATATCTTCATTTCGACAAATAAATGTTGTTTGTTCGCTAATCATAAATCCTCACCGGAAAAATACACTAAATTAACATATTAGGAGGTTATAATTGCATTATACTCCTTTAAATAGTTTACAGGGAGTATATTAGGAGGTTATAATTGCATTATACCCCTGTAATCTCCCTGCAACCTACTTGTATATGAAAATAGAAGCGTGAAATTTACTAGAAGGTACAAATAGATTACAATGAGGTTACAGGGGGTATAACGCGGTTATAACCTCCCAACATCCTCCCGTACGCCTACGCAGCTCTACGTACGTCTTATGTACTCAAAATTTTTCCCCCCCGGTTGGGTCCTGTTACCCACTTACAGTGTCCTCCCTTCAATTTTTTTTTTGTATTTACCACCCCCTTTGCATCAAGATTTTGAATAAATAATCAATATATTTGTGTTTCATTTTAATTTTGTAGAGTCATTCATAACTTTATTTCGACAAACAAATGTTGTTTGTTTGCTAATCATAAATTCTCACCGAAAAAATACACTAAATTAACATATTAGGAGGTTATAATTGCATTATACTCCTGTAAATAGTTTACAGCGAGTATATTAGGAGGTTATAATTGCATTATACCTCTGTAATCTCCCTGCAACCTACCTGTATATGAAAATAGAAGCGTGAAATTTACTAGAAGGTACAAGTAGATTACAATGAGGTTACAGGGGGTATAACACGGTTATAACCTCCCAACATCCTCACGTACGCATACGCAGCTCTATGTACGTCTTATGTACTCAAAATTTTTTCCCCCCGGTTGGGTCCTGTTACCCACTTATTTTTTTTTTGTATTTACCACCCCCTTTGCATCAACTGATTTACTTTATTCTTTAAATATTAAAATGATGGTATTTGTGATGTGATAAAAAAAATTGGATGGTATAAATATAAATATATCAAAATAGATAATATTAGATCATAAATTGTTCTTTGTGAACACGTCGCGAGAGTTTAGGATTGAGTAAATGAAAGAAGAGAGAAATAGAGTATATCAAGTGAGGAGTTTCCTGTAAATAGAGTCGTAAATGTCATTTAGTTTGTATTTTTTGCCTCTTATATATGAAAAATTATTGCATAAATTCAACGTATGTAAAACTGCATGGGGTTGCCCAATTAAAACTCCTCATATCCCAAAAAGTGTATGATAGTGGGCCCAATTTTAAAAATTAAAAATTTTTTAAAATTAATATTAATTAGGTGACGTTTTTGAATTGGACCAATAGCTCCTTATTTATAGAGACATATTTTATATAATTAGAAATGAAGGAACGGTTATGGAAACTGCTCTTAAGTTGATTGATACTCTTATTAATCATATGGATTTCATGCTATATGAGTATTACAATTCAAATTTTAATATGGCGGTAATTTGACCAATTGACTTGCTCGAATTCGGTCGGTTTTGGTCGACTGAGATGATCGACTAAGTGGTGAATGTGCTATGGGTTGATCCGGCGAGGTGCCTGGTCGAAAGTTGATATCGTCCGTCGCGGCAAAAATTAATCAATTGATTAGCCGCGATCAAAGATTTCCGCTTACGCCCCGGTCAGTCAAGACTGTCGACGTGGTCTACCATTCAAATCTCTCACCATAGTGTACGGATCAATTCTTGACCACGCAGTAAGGTGGCAGGATGCCTTGGTCTTTTGGGCCATGAGATTCATGTCAACGGTTGTGATGTATACGAATAATGAATTTAAAAATATTTTTTAACAGTTTTCAAATAAGTTATTAGTTATTTCGAAGTACCACATGAGGCAAACCGTGAAATAATTTAATGCGAAAAAAATAATCGTCTCTTCTTTTTTTTCTCTCGTGGTTCAACTCCTCCAGCAATGTTTAGGAAATAAATCTCAAACCATATATTTACCAGCAGTGGTATGCACGTAAATACAGTCTACAGAGGAATTAAGCGGAATGCATGAAAATCTTAATTTTATTTAAGAGAATTTTTATATGTGCATTTAATTGAGTGATAATGCGATGCGTCAAATGTTTTCAGTATAACATTAATTTTTCTATATACATTTTACTTTGCATGCAATCAAATGAAGAAGTGCACATGACAAGGTATTCTTCCATCCCAATCAATTGGCATTGTTCTGAGCCCGAGTATCCACCTCAAAATAGCAGAATTAATATTCATTTGTGTGTGTTGAATTCTCATACAGCGCTGAGACAATCATCCGTTACTCTACCGTCACTAATTTTCTAACATGCATCAAAAATAAAATATGATAAAATTATTATATGACAAATCCAAAAAATATATAAAATCATGAGCTCCGACAGTACAAATAATAACACATGCATACATATAATAAGAATATTGTATGTATTAATATAATATTAGACAATTTTATATGTATAGGCGGTAGTCGACAAAGGTCAACGGTGATCGGCGGCGGTCGACGGCGGTCGCTGATGATTCACTTATAAAATTGTTTGATAACATTTTAATTAATTAATAGTTATTAAAGATGAAGTAGATTAATTCAAATTAAATTAAAGGCACAGAAAAATCTTCCACTTCACACTATTAGGGTTGTAAACGAGTCGAGCCTGAGCAAGCTCATTTTGGGCTCGTGTTCGGCTCGTTTGAAATTGACTCGTGTTTGAAATTGCTCGTGAACAGTGTGTTCGTGTTCGGCTCGAATAATATTTTACTGTTCGCGTTCGCTCGTGTTCAGCTCGAGATTGGCTCGCTAAAGTATAAAATTATTATAATAATTATAATTTTAATAAAATTAATTAATAAATTATATAAAAAATTTCCGACCTTTGTCGACTACCGCTAAACCCTAAACCCTAAAGCAGGACAGCGATTAGAAATCAAATGATGAATGAAATGGAATATTTACATATATACAACTCAATTCCTATGTATTTGCATATCTAACACTTAAACTTATGAATAAAGCCTTTCCTTTTAGAATTCCTCTTCAGGAACCTGTAATTATAATTTTTTTGAATGCAAAACTTAATTGAAATTACCTGCAGCATTTTAAATTCAAGTGAAACATAGATTCACCTGTAATCATCAATTGCACTGACTTGACCATCAATAGCCCATCTGAAACCTTACTGATTTTGCTGAGTATATGGGACTCCCGTCTTGAAAGCACGCTGAAAAGAAAGAAAATTTATTAGCAAATTAGGATAGCATGAACAACAAAGAAACAATAACGCTAACCTTCAAATGGCTGTAATTTTATTTCATTTATTACACAACTTTGAAAGCTAACTATAAGTTAATGTCTCCGGTACTTCGGGATTCTTCTGTCCCTCACTCGACCAGTACGAAGGTCTCGTGCCTACAAGATCGTTTGGTTCCAATGTGTTTTTGATGCTCTAATAGGGAAAAATATTAGTGTTGAAGGCGCAAATTGCCTCAAGGATGCAATCTCTTTTTCATTGCAGGTGAAACCATCCAATGGCTTAAATATGAATAGATCATGTGCTCTCTTTCTAAACTCCTCCATTCTGCACCACAACTAGACCTGGCTTCTGAACGCTGCATGCTACTTATTTCAATCACATGTGCAAAGTTTGAGACATCGGAGCATATTCTTGAGCAAAAATTCTTGCAAAAGCCATTTTCAATAACTGTGGGCATAAAAAACACATTTTAAACATTTCAAAAGTATAAAATATTACATAGTTTAAAAATAAAGCTCAATGCATCCTGATAAAAAAATTAGTAAACACTTTCTTCTTCAACAGAGAATTGGTACAGAAACTGAATAATGTTTTAGATACCAAATTGAAAATCCATGAAGAAAATATAACTAATATGGTATATTCCTACAAAAAGAAATCATTTTTAAGAACAACGGAGTGAAATAAATGGATCTGAATATCTCCAAAAGAAAACAAAGCAACACTTAGACTAAAAAACAACAATTAAAAATGATATGCGGTGAGGTTATATATGCAACAATCATAGGAAACCCCAATCAATGCAAAACAGATGAAGTAGCATAACGATAATAAAGACATAAAACTAAATTTTGGTTTTGTTTTGTGCCTCTTGGTAGCTCATCAATTTGCCCACTGTTTGAATTCAAATATTAAGAAATTATAGCTTGACTTTAGCATAAAAATGCTTGTAGAAAAATTATTTGATATTCCCTAATTAACCAATCATCTAATGAAATTGTAATGAATTTTAGAATCAATTAAAACGATTCTAAAATAAAGCTAATAAAAAAATTACTTAATCGGTTGGATGCTACCCGTTACTACTTCTCTCCTTCATCCCTTGGTTAGGAGGCATATGTTATATAAATGCAAGGGTTGCAATAAGCCATAACATTACATCAGTTTGCTCTAAAATCATCAACTAATTCTTCCCAACCAGCAAAGATATCTCATTTTTTATGTCATGTACGATGGTAATATTTGACAATCCCAAATCTGAAATGTCTGTCAATAAATGCAACAATATATACAAAAACAGGCCTTCATACAATATGTGAGCGAACACTAGAGAGTGAGTTAAGCCCTCTCCACTTCAGCTCATAATGCAAGGATAACAAGCAACTCAACTTATCTAATCACTCCTCGATCTATCAACGTTATATTAAGAAATCTACTTTGCATCAAATCAAAAAGCCCATGAACCTAAAAACTTACTAAAAAGAGATTGAACAATGCTTGCAAACTAAAGCAATAGGAAAAAAAAAATAGTACTGTTGTATTATTTTTACCATCAAATTCAATCCAATACTTTAACAAAATATCTAATTCAGACATATCTGCACACTAAATGATATCAAAACTACAGAATCAGTATCACTTTTAATTAATTAGGCATAATAAGTTTAACACTCATAAACTAGGCAAATAAATATTGCAATAAAAATGAACACAACACACACAAAACGTTGAGAAACAGTACCAATACATAATAACAAAAGAAAAGAAGTATGAATCACCATACAAATGCACAATAACCGAACTAAATTTCAAAACAAAGCCCTTATATAAGTAACCAAGCAAGAATACAAAGCAACGAAGCAAGACCATAATACTGAAGCTTTAGAGAACCTAATTTAGGGTTTCTTTAGCTATAAAGTTATATATTATATTATAATATTTATATAAGTAGTACTAATATGTTATTATTAATAATTTATTATATATTATAATTTATGTGATTTAATTTTTTAAAATATAATAATTTTTTAAAATTTGATATGTATTATGTATATATATATATATTTATTTTCGAGCAAGCTGTAGAACAAATTTTTTTTCGTGTAGGTTTACTTTCAAACGAGCGAACACGATAACAGAGCTGTTCGGGAACGACTTCCCGGAGCCGAACGAACGAGCGAACACGAGCCGCTTAACGAAAGCCGAACACGAGCTGTTCGGGAACGACGAGCCCTACACACTATCCTGCTGGCTGAAACCGTTGATGACGTCCCTCGCTCCTCCTTTCCCGGTTTTGCCCAAAACCATCGCCTTGGTAACCCGACGCTCGCTATACAGTCGCGGCTAGAGCTAGCTGGGAAGGCAACGGAAGGGATCGCGGTTCACAAAGACATCTGAAACTACCATCTATCCCCTCCTTATCGTCGGCTCCAACCAGAAACCATCGAGGAAGGTAACCCTCGTCTTTCTCCCGATTCATATCCCCGGCATTCGCGCGCTTCGGCATGTCCTAGATATAAGCTAAATCGGGATTTATTAAAGTTGTCATTTTGCTGTTTGACGGGATTTAGGTTATATCATGCTCAAATCCTGTCATCAAACAGACCCAAATCTTGAAATTTTCATGTAAATCTCCATGCGAGACAGAGCCAAATCCAACCCAAGAAAGGCACGGATCACTTCACCAGTCACGGAGTGGAATTGAGTACCCGTTCGTGATGGCGAAGCCTGTACCTGGTAGTTCCGCACTCCAGAAGAGGAAACGCCTCCTCTTACTCTTCTCCGCTGTCTGTATTACAGCGGCAGCCTTCTTCTGTTTTCGTGCCACTCTCGACACATGCGATTGTCGCCGGGACAGCGTTGTATCTTCAGCAGCGGTGGATAGCGCTCGCCTCCTGGCGCCGGTCGGTAATGTCGAGAAAAATCCTCTGGATTTCATGAGGTCCAAGCTCGTGCTTCTTGTCTCTCACGAGCTATCTCTTTCAGGTAATTGTAATTTGAGGTGGAAGGCTTGTCCCATGCTTCAACCTGTTGAATTTATTAGTTTCAATTATTTGTTGGCATGTAATTAGAAATCAATATTATTTTTAAACTCTATATGCACCTTTAAAATATCTCATATGTGACGATTTCATTTTTCACACTTAAAATGAGCAAAAATGAAATCATTATTGTATAGAACATTTTTCTTAACTACAAGCTACCATGAGTAAGAAAAGAGCTTCTCATTTGGTTGCTCGCTGATAGAAAACTGGTTTTAAAAATTGATTTTTTTTTTTTTACTTTCACTCATTTTGGGACATACAAATAATCACTTTTTGAGGGATTTTGAAGGTGTTTGTATAATTGTATAGTTTAAAAACATTATTGATTTCTATTTGTACACAATTGAATGACGAAATATACTAATTTCATTGTTTTAAAAAAATGCGTTCTAAGTAAAAAATAAATAATAAAAAAAAGTGTATGAACATTGTATTGCTGGAGTTTTTTTTTTTTTCCTTAAACTTTGACAATGATATTGTTGGATATAGGAGTCACTGTTGAGCCCGTTATTTGAGAAAAAATTTGCTTAGAATGTAATATTGTTGTTAAAGAATTGCAAGGTATTCTCATTGAAATGAAAGGTATCCCTTTTTCATTTAATACAATATGAACAAATGCTTTTCGTCTTCATTATAATCACCCTATTAAAAATGTTTAGAGACAATTTCCCATTCATTCAATATTCATTGCAAGTGCGACGCAGCCGTGCTGGATTATGAAGATCATACTGTGCACGTGGAAAGCTATCTAATGCTTTTGAATTCAAGCTTAATTTATGAGGCCATCTATTAGAAGTTGAATTAATGATCACTGCATAACTAAACTAAATGCAAGCAACATTAAGTAGGATATAAAATTAAATGTTTCTTTACAAGAAACATTTTGCATCATGATCTTGAACATAATTAATGCAGATTTTAACCTTAACCTTTATTTTTTTAATTTATACATTATATCCATTAGTGCACTGGACCTTTATTAACTAAATATGGTGCTCTTGATTATTTTGAGAAGATACGCTTCCACGTCAGCTGAATGAAATTCTGAACTATGATGTTTGTTTGGGCATTTTTCAGGTGGACCTTTGCTACTAATGGAGTTAGCATTTCTTCTAAGAAATGTTGGTGCCCAAGTCATATGGGTCACATATCAAAAACCTGCCGAGGAGAATGAAGTAATTCATAGTTTAGAGCATAAGATGATGAATAGGGGTGTGCAGGTATCAGAATCAGTTTTTTTTAGTTCCTTTTTTTATCGTCATTAAAGAGTGCACATTTCATATGTACATGTAATGCTATTCGCAAGCATATTGAGTGCTGAAATTTGTGTATAAATAGTCTCATTGCAATCCTATTTGACATATAGGCATACTTCATCCTAAATAGTTGTATAATTATTTGTCGTTTGAAGAAGTCGTTTCACAACAGTGTTCCTTAGACCATTAGAAACTTCATGTCTTCATTTCAGTCTTGAAAGATTGACACATTCTCACTTTTCATCCCTCGATACTGAACTTTGTTATAGATGGAAGAATGATTACTTTTTTGCATCAACTCTGAGCATACACATATTACATGTTGAAATAAACCTTCAGGTCTATTTGGTAGGGCATCTTAACACTATTTATTTATGAAATCCAGCCAAACTGTAAAATGCAGGAATTCCATGAATTTATGATTTTTTGGATTTTGTGAATTTACGGATTTATGTAGCCATGTAGTGGGATTAAGTCTTTGTTGTTGTTGTGAATTTACGGATTTACAGAGTTATTAAATCCTGCTAACGCTAAATCACAAACAACCACTTAGGGTCTGTTTGGGGCAGCTGCAGCTTATCCATCTCCTGCTGATAAGCAACTTATCCTGATAATCTGCTGATGAGCAGCTGATTCGGATAAGCTGTCTTGCTGTTTGGTTGACGCTTATGGAAAACAGCTGATCCTAAAAAATTGACCATTCTGCCCTTGTTCTGAATAAACAGTTTAGCTGTTTGGTTAGTGCGTTTTGTAAACAGCTTATTTGCAATTTTTTTAGTTGAATGAACAATCTATCACGCAGAATTTATAATTTTCTCAATAAAATTAAAGTTCAAATGTTAATATATGAAAATACAAAAGAGTTCCTTAGTTTGCTGAAGCCTCTCTATTCTCTCGCTCTTCAATCTCTGCTCCAGTACTCAGGACAGCTATTAAAACCAAAATAAAAATAAAAATAAATCTATTTCCAGGAAGAATCTTAGGATAAACTGATAGTAGAAATATGATAACATTAACTTTATAATGTAGCAGTATATCACGACCTACGCCACCTGCATCTGACACTCCAGAACCCTGAGCAAACTTGTCCGATTGCGATATCGTAGAAACGGAAGAACTCGAACCACATGTGGTGTTCTCCTGTTGTGGCACTATTGAACTCCTAACAGTAGTGTACAATTGGGAGCACGTAGAAATAGTTTCACTGTCGACTCACCTGAAGAATTTGCAATCGTCCGGTCCTTGTCCCCACCGCGGGCACCTGTAGAATTGTCGTCCGTAACTATGTGTCTGTCGTGATGTGAAAAGCAATGACGGTAGCCCACATCGGCACATCATTTGCCCTGACTTCCCTGAAACTTCTCTGAATATCTCGAGCTCATTGTCCTGCAATTATTATAAAAAACGTTGATCAGTCAAAAACTGAAGTGAATAAAAAAAAAACTCAACATATCAAATTGGGCTATGTTAGTGCTATGCTCATCAAATCCTTATGGTTTTATCTTTAAGTTCATATAACTTTAGACAATATAAACTTAACGATGTATTGTGCTTTTATCTTTTTCATTGAGAACTAAAACATATATGACTTAGAGTATTAAATTCTATATTAACTTTGATCGAGGAGCTTTTTCAACACGTCGATAGCTCCAACACGTCGAGGAGGGTTTTCTACTTTTATTACATTGCATTGGAGCATTGAAACATTAATATATGGTGATTACATAACAATCTGAAACATTAATATTTACAAAACTAGCACTTTTCCTCAATCATTTCTCACAATCACACTCAAATATCAAAGTACAAGATAGAACTCATACTTTTCAATTTAAATATATAACACAAAAAACAATCAAATTTTCATTTCTTACTCAAACAACACATCAGATAACTTGAAATCGCAATCTATGGTATGGTGCATCTTATGACTGCTCAACCCAGTAGATAGCAACCCTAGAGAACATCAAAAAGGTAAAAAATAAATGACATCGATTTTGTTTCATAAAGAAGTCCCATATTTTTACTCTTGACATCGACAAAGACAACAGTTGCGACCGCCTTCCAAGCTGCTTAGGGCCAATGCGATAGAATATCAAAGAAGCATTAAAATCTGAAAACTGCCAGCAAAAGCAATCCAACGCTCCAATTGTGTAGGGGAAGATCCCATTTCGTGATGAATAAAGAAAATAACATTTAGATGCTATGTATCTAAATACATAGAAATTTGGCATTATATATATGTAAAAGCAATCCAACGCTCCAGTTGCACCTGCCTTCCAAGCTGCAGTTGCAAGTATTGGATTATCAAATTCTATTTTCCTAGATAAAGATATTGAAACATGGTTAAATACTTGTGTATTTTGTCACAAGAAAATTATCATGCAATTACTAATCACAATATAATTAATAATTTTATGGGCAAAAGTTATGTAATATAACCTGGAATTCTGATGCATACATAGGAGTGTAATGTCTCCAACGAAATGCTCACAAAATTCAAATCCTTCCTCCGCTATTCAAAAACTGTGTTGAACATTTCTAATTCAGCTTTCCCTTGATCAAGTTCCATCATTCCTTCCTCGAAGCCTCAAGAATCCAAGATAATTATAAAGTGAATAAAATGCTCATCCTCATTACTATCAAGTTCTAGAAATAGAAAACGACTTAGGATAAAAGCAACAATTAAGATAAAAGCAACCCATTGATCAAACAGTAAAGCTAGAACAATAGCGCAAGAAAGTCTTTGGAAGCAATATTTCTGATAAACTCTTTTTTTTTAACTCATGGAAAGGTAAATTAAAGGAAGGATTTGAAAGAATAAGGCATAAAAGCGCAGCTATAGAAGCTCAGCTATGTAATTCTGTCAAAAAAATCTAAACGCAAGGAGTGCTATGATGACTTCAAAATCATTAAAAAGTTGAGAGAGAAAGAATGGAAAGCACCGAATACAAGCATATCTAGAATGATTGAAAGCTCATGCCGGCGAGGGCATCGACCAAAATTCTTTCAATCTGGATATTATGAAGTCAATATAAGCACTTAAGTTTAGATGTTAAAAATGTAAATATATCATGGTGTAATTAAAATATAAGCACTTAAGTTTAGATGTTAAAAATGTAAATATATCATGGTGTAATTAAAATATAAGCACTTAAGTTTAGATGTTAAAAATGTAAATATATCATGGTGTAATTAAAATATAAGCACTTAAGTTTAGATGTTAAAAATGTAAATATATCATGGTGTAATTGCTTGGAAAATGGCTAAAATTTAACTATATAATATGAGTTGTAATTACTACCAGCCCAAACCATTTGAAAATGTAAATATTTAGTCCATAAATATGCATCAATATATAGAAGATTCAACAACTTTACAAAAAATTTAACAAAAACTGACTTTCTACTCCGCAAAATTACAAAAAATTGCTATTTTGAATTAACTTCCCTGCATGATGAAGGGAAGTTAAATTAGTACATTCATTTCAATGTAACTCAAATAAGTGTCATGATCGCACAATTTTGTCGCTATCTGGTTTCACAATGTCGTCATTTTCCTTGCACCTTCACCTTCGTGCCTGTAAGGATGTTCTGATTCATCCTGAGGTATTGGATGTCCGACATGAAATTCAAATGCTTCTTGTGTAATATGATGCAAGTTTTCATCTACAAATGCAAAATCCTCATCGGAGCGTGAGTGATGTCGTCGTATGTAATTATGCAGAGCCATTGTTGCCACAACAATTTTTAATTGCTTCGGAAATGGGTAGGTTGGCATGTCACGTAATATCACTCACTTCTTCTTCCATACCCCGAATGACCTCTTAATGACACCACGTAAAGAAGAGTGTCGTTTGTTAAAAACTTTCTTTCTACCACGTGCAACCCCGCTTGACCTTTCGAAGTCCGGAATGTGGTACTTCGTGTCGGCATAAGGCTTTTAGATAACCCCTTTGTAAAGGATATCCGACGTCAACTAGATAATACTTACCTGCACAAAATACATATTTTAGTAACAACTCAGGAATATCTGATATATTTGCTATAACAACATACCAGGAGGGGGGTATGGGAAGTAATGAGTTCGACGTCTTGTCGCAAATTTAAAAACACAACTATCGTGAGCGCTGTCTTTCCATCCAACCATCACAAATGTAAAACAAATATTAAAATCACAAATAACCATCACATTCTGTGTGGGAGAACCACAACGTCCAATGTAGGCTACTTTGTCGGTTCCAGATACACGTGCATCAACGTGAGTTCCATCAATAGCTCTTATACAATCCTAAATATAAAAATGTTTCAATAATTAATGAATGAGAGTTTCAATATAAAAATGTTTCAATAGCTCCTATACAATCCTAAGTTAGTAATAAGATGTTTAAGATATACCTTAAAAAACGACATGTAACGATTGTCATTCGCAATTTGTGTAGGGATGGATTGAAGTGTGGGATCTTCAGACTTAACTATCTTAGAAGCTAAACTTATCAGTGCATTCAGACCAATGGAGAAATATCTGCTGATAGTCTCCGATGAATGTTGAAATCGCTCCATGGCTCCTCTAATGGACTCATTTTGAGATAAAATATAGAGTGTAATTGCTAACACATCTCTTGATGTCATTATAGTAGAGTCATTCAAACCATGATGGTGTTGTAATTCGCAGAGCAGATCGATGAAAATCTCTTTCGTCATACGAAACATGTTTGCAAAACGTGTCGGATGGTCTTGTAGTAACTCACCGACCCATTTATCACCAACATATGTTGATGTCATAGATGGAGTTCGTTCGATGTATGTGAAGTAGTAGTCATATAACAAAGTAAGAATAAACACTATCTTTGTAACATAGTGCAAATGTTCTGAATTCATCCTACCAAAAGTAGTTCAATGATAATAGTTAATACCTTCAAACATTTAAAGACATCTAGATGCAACAGTACAACCAGTACAATCAGTACAATAAGATTTTAGAAAAACATCCAGTTAAATTTAAAGAGTGAAATAAAAGAAGTGCTAGAAAAATAAATAGCAATCCACGTTACAACAATACAAACAGTTTTGAGATAACGAAACGACAAGCTTTCCAAACATTTAGTTCTCCATGAAGGAACGTTAGAAATCAACTTGATATTCTGCCTCCAACTTCACAAAAAATTATCTACGGACTGGACCTTGTAGTAACTTAACACAGTTGAGATAAAATTTTCTATCTTCCTTCACCTCAGCATGTGTATTTAGGATTCGAAGACACCCCTCAACGGATACATCCTGTGATGCATAAAGCTTAACAGAACAGGATTCAACAAGCTTTTCGATTGTGCTTCTGACGAATGTCGCTCCTTTCTTCTTTTTCTCAACCTTACGCCGTTTTGGAATGGATGAGGATTCCGCAAGCCTTTCATCAACTGACTTATGGATTTGACAAGATACTTCTCCTGAGCCACTTATATTATCAGTTCCAAGAGCATTAGTTGTGCCAATAAACTCATGTTCAGATGGGGTGAAAGCATGTGCTCCCGTTGCAACAACCCCTTTGAACATACCATCCAGCTTCTCTTCCATTACTCGATCAATACCATTCATTTTGAATTTCTTAGCTGCTGGCACGACCTGCATGGTGAAGAAAAGTTAATTAGTACAATCATTTCAATGTAACTCAAATTGAAATAAGGAGATGATATTGGGTTAGCCTTTACCTGTAGTTTCTCAGCCCACCACTCCTCAGGAGCATCTATCGTTCGTTTCAATGAATCCCAGCCTAAACCTGTAGTTCCCCTCTTAAGTTCTTTCCAAATTTTCCAATCATTTTTTAATTGATCCCACTTGTTCTTAAATTTCATCCTGTCGTAGTCTCTGCTTGTGAGTTCTTTGAATTTGACAGAAACATTATTCCAACCTTCTTTGTTAAAATATGTCGTAGGTCTATTTCCTAGCTCCATCTCTTTAAGACATAGATCACAGAAAATATTTGTTGCTTCTCTGTCCCACATCGCAAATGATCCAACTTCTTTGCCCTTATTCATTGTGGTACTTACTAGTGAAAGGTTAAATAAGAAAAAATGTATTTAATAACATGACCCTAAAACTCCAATACTGACAATCATTCTCAATATTATATACATATATATGTCAATATTACAAAATAAAACATGAGTTCTAGATATCGAAAAACTCATGTATATTTTTACTAAACATGATAGCAAAAAACCTTAAGGACATTTACAAACATACCAGTCAGTTCCTATGTATTTATATATCTAGTACTATACTTTTTATATTTATAACACTCAAATCATTTACATCACATCAAAAATATTACAATTTTAACTTATAAAAAGTAAAATATATGTTTGTATTCATACGTAATCTAATATATATGTAAAAGTTGAAGTTTAGGTTTTAGATATGTGAATATATAGAAATTTAGTGGTATGAAGGTAAATTTCTCAATACTTTAATGTGTACATTTTGTGTTCAAAAATTAAAAGCTTATGTACTTTTTTAAACATAGAGTGTTTGAAGAGCTCTAGTCACACTATCCCCTACCATGGACATTTTCTAAGCATGATGGGTGGGTCTAGCATTCACACAAATGCCCCTTACAAGAGAAAAATGTTCAAGAAATTGCCAAAATTTGCACCAACGTGGCCGAAAAAAAACAAAATGAAAGAGACTTCATGTACATAAAAAAATTTATTAAATAAAATAAAAATTAAATAAAGATAAAATTGTAAAAAAGAATACTTCAAATGCAATACTCGTTATATCAAATGAACTAATAAGTGCCCAAAATATAACACATAACTAAACTTACAGGAAACTCGGCGACTAGCCAATGAGCACAAACAAGAATTTATTGAGGATTCAAAACTCAAGAACTAATGAATGCAATCAAAAAATGCATTTTTCTAAGAGTAAAACAAAAATCTTAATTGCGAGCAATCACAACTGAATCTGTAACACATCATGCAAGAAAACCCAATGTAATCTTCAAAATTACATAATAAAAAGTTTGCATGAATCTTAATGAGAAAACAAATTGTATAAAATTAAATACTAATAATTTAAATACTTTACATATAATAAAAAGAAATTATAAACTTAAAATGCCTCAAAAACCATGCAAGCATACCAAAAATCATGTGCATGTTTTAAAAGACACAAAAAAATTGTAAAAATCAAAATGTTTGTATGTGCTCTAATAAGCTTCCTAAAAGCTTAACCCAAAATCAAAAAATGTTGTATGGGCTAAAAGCAAGATGAACTCAAATTTCCCCGGCCCTAGAAGTATGCAAAAAAAATAATAAGAAAAGACAAGTATTTATAAATACAAGCTCATTTTCAAAATTCAAACTTAAACTCGATATGTGTGCAAGCAAGCTCTCAAGCGGACCACCTTACCTATAAGGCAAGTTCCTACACCTCACATTCTAAGAGATTATAGTTGATAAAAAAGTTTCACATTCTAAAAGATTATAGTTGATAAAAAAAGCATTGCAATGAGCATTCATGAAGCAAAGTTGAACTAATTACAGTAATAGAATGATTTCAAACTTTCACTTATGATCTAATTTAACAAACAAGTATCATGAATTGCAAATTCGCTAAAATTTTTATTTTATCTTCAAATAGAATAGTTGAAATCATTAAAAATGTTTATTATTAAAGAACAACTCTCAAGTCTCAAGTCCATCTACTATATACGTCAAACCATAAAATCCAACTTTTAGACAAACTCAATCCCTTACATATGGGGACAGTCAATAAAATGTATAGTATAATAACATCTAAATGAACTAAAATGATATTCAAACCATAAATCTGACACTCTAAAAGCAACTGGTTGATCATATTTCTAGTGACAATGTCTAATAAAGTAATACAACAAAATACCCTAAAGATGAGCATATTGGAAGAAAATATCAACCGGAGAAGACTATTATTATTAAAACGCACCAAAATTTGAATGTAAATTATTTTATGCTCAAGTTTTAATTAAAAATCCAAAAAAAAAAATCAGGAAAAAAATCTCAAAGAGTTCTATTCTCCACAATATTTTGTAAAGGAAGATAAATATGATAAATGGCGGCACATGAGTAAAAATGTACATTAGTTTTACCTTCCGAGAATGTCGAAGAAGAAGTTTGCCGACGAGGAAGAGCAGGCCGAACGGAATCAGTGAGGGCAGACCTAAAAATCGGGGATGAGATTCTCAGGGAAAGATTTAAGAGGGAAGAAGAGATGAATGAGAGGAGGGAAGATCGGGATTTCTTACCAAGGTCGGAGCAAGTTGAGCGGAAGTTGCCTTTGGCGGAGCGGAAACGGACCAAGGTTTCCTCGGCGGAGGCGGCGGAGCGAAGATTTGGCGGAGGAATACCTAAGCTTCGGCGGAGGGAGCGCGGGTCTTCGGCGGAGAGCGGAGGAAGACCGGAGAGTCGGCGGAGAGAGAGCGGTACTTCGGCGTGAGGAAGAGCGAAGCTGGAGAGGCGGAGGCGAGCAGATAAGGCTTTAGGGCAATCCAACGGTCGAAAGCTCTTGGAGGGTGTGTGCGTAAAATATGCCACAATCCAGCGTTCGAAACGCTAATCGCGGGTGTATCGACCCGCGATCAGCTTTTCTCAGAATCAAAAACGAGATTATAAAATAAGCTACGTAAACGAGCAAAACAAACAGTGCGGCGGCGATCGACCCGTGATCAGCTTTTCTCGGAATCAAAAACGAGATTATAAAATAAGCTACGCAAACGAGCAAAACAAACAGTGCGGCGGCGTTTTCAAAAACGCCGCCGCACTTATAAACTGCCCCAAACGGGCCCTTAGAGTTGACTTCTAAAAAGGTTTTTGAGTCTAGGTTCTATTAGAGGATCTAACTAGGCTTTTGTCTTTTTTGGGGAGCGAGAAAAAATAGTTATGTTGAAGAATATTATAGTGCCAACTCTTAAATTGACTGATTGGCTTTCTTCATTATCTTCCAATGCAACCTTCCTAAACTGGCCTGCTTCAAATTGTGCTCTAGATCATAGAGGGAGACCATGTTAGTGTGAATTATATCTTATATTATTGAGTCTGAGCCTTCTTCGAATGGGAAGGATGATAAGTAAATTGAGCTAATAAAATTGGAGAGAGGATTAAAAAGCAATTTCGTTGGTAGTTTCATTGTGATTGTTTATGCCAAATCTTTTAGAGGCGGTGATTACAATTCTAGAAAGGATTATAACTTCTTATTATATTGAAGCTCATTTAGAGTGAATGTTGTTGACACAATATTATTGAAGCTTGACTAGAAATAAGGAGATTATTTAGTTTTGTATCTTTACAATTTACTCTAATTAACTCCTGGCAGTATTAATTACCTTCATATGTTATTAGCAAGTTCGGACCTAAAAATTGTTCAAATTGTTAATCTCATTTTTCTTTTGAAGTCTGAATATTCTGGAATCAATGGTGTACTCCATATCCCTCCGTTGGCCATATTTTATGATGTTCACACTTATTATCTCAATTGCTATATTACTTATTATTTTGTAAGATAATTATGGCCATATGAATTAGAATTTCAAGTTTGCTCAAACTTAATAGGTCCTTAATAGATCTAGTTGATTACCACTTGGCTTATGAAACCTAATTGGTGAAAATAAGATGCAGGCCAATAACAGTTTTTTAATATTTCTTTCTTGTTGTGTCAATATACATGATTATTGTCTATAGGAACTTCTAAACCATCCCCTCTTTGTTAAGGACGCCCCCTTGATATTTGCTTCTGTCGAAGGTTTTGGAAATTTTTCTTGGCCATGTTTTGTCAAGGTCCCATGTTTAGGTACTGTACAGGCAGTCCTTGGCATCTACCTAAGTGGTCCCCAAATTGCATGAAAACTCCTGTATCCTTTTTTAGTAGAATTCTTAGGAGACATTTCATCTCTTTTGATTTCCTAAGTCTCTCTTTGGTCCCCATACCCACTAGGAGAATGAAAAAGCTGAAATTTTTTCATTCTGCTAAGCTTTTCTAAATAGAGTTTTCCTTTCATTCATGTAGTTATGCATTTATTTATTTGTTTATAAATGCCCCTTTATTACTCCCAAAAATACCCCATTACTTTCATTCTTTTAGCTCCCATTTGCAAACAACTCTTGCCATGTAAGCATTTGGTAGCCTTCCTTGTTCCTTACAAATATTATTGCGCAGTGCTCAAGAGTTCCTTTAGACCATTCTTTTGATAGTTTTTAAATTAAAAAATGCATTGAATTTTGTTCACGCTTATGTCTTCTCTGTCTTAATTGATTCTACATCTGTTTCCATAAGTTCATATTGAGAAAATGTCAAGTTTGTTGTTAGTGAGTGTGTTGTAACATTGTTAAGTTATACTAAATGCAAGTAATTTAACATTTCTAGAATTTATTTCCTTACTAAATTTTTTCCTGCGAGGGTATGAATAAATTCAGAAGGGAGTTGTGAGCTTAGTGCCTTCACCTTGTCAGAAGGCGTGTTCAATATATAAATTTTAAGGGAGAACGTGGGGTTTAGATATATATGATTGGATGATAAGCCAAATCATTATAAGTATTTGATTATATTTCTTAATTATTTTTTCTGGTTCTAAGCTTCTCAATCAATCCCTCCCTTGAAGTCGAATTCAAATATCAAATTTACTCTTAAGTTCTAGAAACCATTTTTAACTCCAAAACCTCACTTTTATGTGTGCATAAATATGACTTCTACGGTGGATATGATTGCAATTGCGTGCCCTTATGTTGTCTTTCTTAAAATCATTTTTAGTAGCACAATTTGAATAGCATAATTGGATGTGGATGTTTAGATTGATTTCTTTTGTAGTGTGATAGTGAGACAGACCAACATTTTGTCAAATTTCTAGTACATAAGTTAGATTAGCAAATAGGCTTTTGTATCCTGAGTATCACAGTAGCTTCATTGTATTAGAAATCTTTTTTTGGAACCTTTTATGCTGAATCTTAATTTTCATTTCTAGTCCTATATAAAATGTTTTCAGTGATTATTATTATTATTATTATTTTGTATTCAGGTGATTTGTTGCAATGCAATTTTAACTAATTGTTGCAAAATTATTTGAATGCTCCTGGATTTGGCAATATCCAAATTATTGAATTTTTTTGTGTTTTCCTTATTTGCTTTTATGTAATTGCAGGTTCTTTCTGCAAAGAGTCAAGAAACAATTAATGCTGCTCTCAAAGCTGATATGATTGTTTTAAACACAGCTGTTACTGGAAAATGGCTTGATTCTGTTCTTAAGAAACATCTCTCTCAAGTTCTTCCAAAGATTCTATGGTGGATACACGAGATGCGAGGACATTACTTTAAATTGGATTACATCAAGAATCTGCCTTTTGTAGCAGCTGCAATGATCGACTCCAAAATTACAGCTGAATACTGGAAAAACAGGACGCATGAACGTTTAGGGTATGTGTGTATACAACTCTTTTTTTTTTTACTTCTTGGTGGAAAAAAAGTAAAATAATTTCTTGTTATTTCATGAGAGTGGATTATCATACATTGTTTGACTAATTATGGTCCTGAATAATTTTATTTTAGCGGAGGAAAAAGGAAATTTATATTGTTTTAAGATAAGGGGCTGCATGCTCCGAAAATTTGAAAATGCACCGACTCTCGTTGAGAGCTTAATGTGTTTAAGTTTCGGGTTAAATTTTCAGAAGGCATATAAGAAAATAGATTAGACACCACTGTTGACCTCATTTTAGTTTGGTCTTAGTCTTCTACTCTTAGAACCTAGGATCTAGCCAAAGGTTTCGCCTCCGTTTTGCAAGGAATTTAATATCTAGGGTTTGAGGTCTCTCATAGGTGCAAGTCCCTATGGTTAATTTTTCCGCTCGATAACGAGAAAGCGCTTTCGATTAAGGCTAGTCATTAAACGTCAAATATTCGCACTTAGCATATAGTAACAATAAATTCTAGAATTTAAAATTATAAACAATATTATCGTGAACTCAAAGCGGATGGTGTGGGAAAGGATGACGAACTCATCAAGATTCGGTAGTTTTGTCGTTCGGGTTTGTCATGGTCCCGTTTTTACTCAGTCAGCGGAGGTAGTCAACCCAACCTAACATAAGGATTCTTGTCACTAACTCTGAGTTTCATCCAATGAGATCTTGTAGACCTAGGGTGAATGTTGTTCTAAAGGGACCAATCTACGTCGTACTTAGATTGTAGAGGATTTTATGTTATATCAAATATGCCCTATTATTCAATACTCAAAGGGGGCATACTGTCATTGGGGAATATACGGGCTACAACCATGACCGTAATATAATGATGTTATTTACAGCAAATAGCTGCGAAGGGTGGATGAATTTTGTTTTTAACTTTTGAGTGATTGATTTTCATTAAAACATTTTAAATTTTATATTTTAAAATCTTAATTTTATAAATGAAACCCTTTCAGTGAAATTCACGATCAACACGATTATCATCGGGGAATAATTGCTCAAACATCATCAGGAGCAATAGTCTTGTCAACTCCAATTCTCATGAGGAGAAGGTTCAAATTGGGTCAGTGGGGGCTCAATCTTGTCAAATCTAATCTCATAGGGAGAACTAGACTGACCAAAATGTGGCTTACAACCTCACCCTATAGGCAAGATGACCGGCTTAAAAACGTGCATAATTACATAGATTTGAATTTTTGGCATTTTAAAATTAGATTTTTACAAAGCTTTAAATTGTGTGCATGCTTTTCAAGACATTTTTAGCTTAAGTATGCATTTAACCCACACAACATTCTCAGACAATTATGTTTAGAGAACTTAAGGTTATCGTCGGAGCACATGCGGGTGTGAACTTTATTGGCTTGAGTTGATTTCTAAATAATTTTGCACACTTCATGTTACTTTTGATTTGAGCTAAAACCTATATTTGTCCCGCGTAATATTTTCAGATCACATGTATAAACATTCAGTATTTTGTTCGGAACACATGCAAGTATTTAATTTGTTAGCTTAGATTTACTTTTAGTGGGGTTTAATATTATTTGCATTGGTGTGTTATTATTGAGATAAATGCAAATATTTTTATGTAAGCCCTAAATTTCGCCTTGTGTTCGCTTGTATATTTAGGTTTGCGGATCTAGTGACGAAGTACAAGATTTTGTTTAAAGCTTTCTAGTGATACATATTCTATCCGCTTGTGTAGTTGGGTTGCGGATCCGGTGGCGTGATGGGGTAATGGCGTGAATTTAATAAAATTATGTGGGTTTGAAGTATCATATTAATTTTGCATTTTGCCCACACAACTCTCATTTGAGTGTTCAAATAAACTCCTTTGTAATTGAGTGCCTCATTTGAGCTCATTGACAAGGTGTCGAGTCCCCCGTGAGTCTTGTAGGTCTTATTGTATTCAACTTTACTATTTTGAGATGATTTATATAATAATTTCAGCCTTTAATTTGTTTTTTAGGAACTTTCATTATGATTGCATTTTGACCCAAGTAAATTCAATTTAATTTTCATTTATGACTGGTTTTCAGACAAAAATCTGGCAGCATTACTACAGCCTTTTTGCATTGCCCCTATCCACGCTTTAAAATTTAAAGCGCATAGTTAACGTTTTTTGACACTGCGGCTTGGGAGGACTTCAAAACCGACAATGCTTAAAAAGTGTGCATGGGGTTTCGTGTTCCTAGACAAAAATAAAGGCACACAACTGTTCCCTTATTGACCTCACTTTTGTTTGAGGCCTAGTTTCTCCTTTTTTTTACAGTCTAGGATCTAGCCATAGGACTTTTCAGTCGACTATTCCTAGAAAACTAGGGAAGGAACTCTCTGTTAGAAATTCTGAGCTTTTCTTTGCTCGACTGAAGTTCCACATAGTAGTTTTGGCCTCTAGCACTTAGTAGGTGGGGCTACTGTGAAGAAGCTCAAGGAGAATTCCTATAGGACTGTTGGCCTTAGGATTGACTGTACGCATTGACCTGACATCGTCGCACTCCGCACCGTCTTGTTTAATTAAGCTCGAGCGGAGTTTTTGACGTGATTCGGGTCGCGACGCGTTTTTATCTCGATCGTCCACGAGGTTGCCTAAACAACTTTGGTTGACGAAACAGACTGCGCCGACTCGTCCGGAACGTCGATTTTGCCTAGAGGAACGTTCGTTTCACTACGACAGTGTGTCTGGGGAAAGATACATAGTTAAGTGTTAATTATAATAATAAATAATATATTATTATTATTATTATAATTAGTAACTTATATTAATCCCCAGCCTAATTTTCTTTTTCTTCCCCTCCTTTCTTCTGTGTCTCAATCCCGTGGGCCTTAGGGTTGGCTCGTTCGGCCGCCTGGCCGGTCGCCTGGCCCGCTCCCTCTTCTTGCCATTGGAACGGCTCGTTCTCGTGTTCACCTCTCGCACGCCTGACCGTAGCGCAGACTCCCCATTCCCTTATCGGATCTCATCCTCTGCCTCTCTCGCATGCCCGTATGGGGCGTCTGCTCCTCCCGTTTCCTCGAGCCGAATACGATCCTTCGATCGCTTATTCTCTTTCTCTCGTCTATATAGGACTCGACTTAGAGCATTAAAAAAAAATCTCTGAGGAAGGGAAAACTCTGCCAAATTTCTTTCTCACTTTCTTCTTTAATTCCTAGTGCTTGAGTTGACTTCCTCTTGCTGTTGGAAAGGAGTTTGAGTTGGGAAGTATTTTTCTGAAACTTTTGTGCTGGATTCTGCTTTAAAGAGGTACTCCTCCCCTCCTCTGTGCCTTGCTCCCTTTCAGTTTCTCTCGGCTAAGCTGCTGGGAAAAGTTTTCTTTGGATGGTACAACATGCTAGTCTGGTATTGCACCTATATTTTAAAATATTTGTTACTTGACCATCTAGAAATGAAAATGTGAGCATGTTCTAGGAGTTAGATTTGATTACTTGCTTAAAATGGTGAAATTATGGCATGTTTCTTTTTACTGTGGCATGTTTCTATTGAAAGCAATTAGGAGGGTTGAAACATGGCTTTGAGACAATGTTAGCTCCTCTTACAAGCATATTAGGATATGTATCATGAAGCTTTTCATGTATTCTAATCTAGCATGGAATATTAGAAAGTTTATTTGGTCTTTCACACATGTGTGAAAGGCTCGGTTTTGGCATCTTATAATTCTTTTTGGCTTGAAAAAAATGCATGCTATGAAGAACTTTACCTTGATTTGGAAAAGTTCTATAGTTGTTCTTATTTGAAATACGTGGTGGCCCTATGTTTTTGATGTTTCAATGGCATGAGGATGTTTTCTAGCCTTTGTTGTAGCCTGGTTTTGAGCCTTAGTTGCGGTTCGGTTTGGTTCTTATTAGTCCTCGGTTTGCACCATTGAAGCAAGGGATATTGACTTCATCGAGGCCTTTGGCTTTGGTTTTAGTTGAGGTTTTGTCCTAATGATTTGAGTTCCATTTATTAGCCTCGGAAGCTTGTCCTTTGGCTCTGGTTGGGGGCTCGGTTTGCTGGTTTAGCTCTTACCCGAGAGCCTATGTTTGTGCTTTATACTTGTCCCTACCCGAGAGGTGGCTTGGGGGCTTGATTTTGTTTGTTATAGGCCCTTGCCCGAGAACTTGTCTTAGTGTGTTGTGATGTTCTTATTCGAGAGCTGTCGGATGGTTTCCTACTCCTACCCATGAGACATATTGAGGGTCGTTTAATTTGATTTGGTCCTTCTTGTTAGGCTTGAATTACTTGGATGATTGTTGGTGGATCAAATTTGTCATCCCAAAGTTATGGTTATATTTTGTACTCTCTTATGTATATCAAAGATCCTCGTAGAATTGATTTGGGTTGCCTTGGCCGTGAGCCTTTCTTGTGCCTTGGGTTGCCTTGGCCGTGAGCCTTCCTTGTGCCTTTGGTTGCCTTAGCCGTGAGCCCCTTTAGTCGTGAGCTCCTTGTGCCTTTGGTTGCCTTGGCCCTGTTTCTTGTTAGTCGTGAGCTCCTTGTTCTGTTGGTGGCCTTGGCTGAGAGCTTTGGTGGCTGCTTCCTCTTCTCTATTGACCCCGGCTGTGAGCATTCATGTGGCTTTATTGGAAGGTTCTATGTTTATTTGGTATGTGAAGCTATTGATTAATTTGAGAGTTGGAAAATTTTAATTTTGGCATGAGTTTGGAGGTGTCGATGGTAGTCTTCCTCGGGTCACTTTTCTTTTGTTCAATTCATGGAATTTGGAGGATTTAAAAGTCTTATTTGGGAGAGCATTTGATTGAATTAAATTGAGCCCATGGAAGATATTTTTTTTTAGGTTAGACACCAATATCGGGGAGGTCGTTTGTAGGTGATCGTCGTGTCAGTTTGGGCCCGTTTCGACTCGTTCGAGACAGGATTTGGAAAGGACACCCTCCCCTCCTTGGGTTGATCCAATTCTAACAAAGCGAGAAAATAACATCCAATCAGATTGATTCGACCTTGGCCCCTACCTTCTCAGG